TGCATAAGTATTGATTCAACAAATAGCCTTTTATCAATTGATCTTAAACAAATAAAATTTACTAACATGTCAATAGAATGGCGGCATCATTATTTACTATTATACCTTCTTTAAAATAACATTTTATTCGTCTAAACTATAAAGATATACATAATTTCTTTTCCTTAATGAATTAAATTATGTTAGTTAAATTTTCAGCCCAACCTATGAAATAAAGTTCTGTAAGTATTAATAATGTATCAATTCATTAAAGTGAAGATTTATGGTTTTAATTCTTTTCCTTGATTGGTCCAATAACAATATCAGAATTGGATAATATATAGAGCAAAGAGAATGCAATGATTTTTTTTGAAAATTGCAAAATTTAAATATTAAATCTAAATATTTAAGGAATAATAATGTCTCCTATTTTTAAATTTTAAAATCCTTTTAAATTAAGGTTCTCAGATTGTTAGCTAACATTTATATAAAAATTATATTCCTTCGATCTCATATATGTAACTTAAACCTTAACAACCGACTCAACGATTTATATTGAAAAACTAAAGATAATCTAGTGTAACACATTTAAACTAAAATCAGAGGTTATACCAATTTTTTCTGAATTGATTTATATAATTTTAGGATGCAATTTTTCCAGGAATACCTCAATATAATAATAACTATTTGTTTCAGAGTTAGATCTAATCTTCTACTTATCAAACTAATTAGATGATGTATATAAAGAGTATTTCTAACTGTTGAAGTTGAGTAGTTCAAAACTTTAAAAATAAATGACATTATTTGCTGTTAGAATAGTGTGACATAAAATGGTTGTGTCTATTTTTTTAACTAAAATTATATTAATTCAACTATTTTAATCAAAGATTCTTACTTGATAACAATTTAAAATGTTAAATTAAAGACGTTGAATTGTAAATTAATATCTAATTCGGCCAGCAAATTCGAAGGAGGATTTTATTTATAACTAAATTATTCTGACTTTTAAATAAAATCAACAATTATTACAAATAATAAGGCTTTAGATGGAGGAGGGATTTATTTCAACCAAAATGGAGTTGTACTTCCTCATAATTTTATAAAATCATTTTTACTATTTAATAAAGCAACATAGTTTGGAAATAATCTTATTGAATCTCCTCACCACTTAACATTGCTTATCAAGAGCATGGAAATGCAATCTATAGAGTAAAGTATTAACTAGATTTTTAATCATCATTTAGTGCTTAAACCTTATAAAATTATTGAATAAGGAAAACCATTTATTATGGAGTATTTAATGATCCCAAGTAATAAAGCTATCTCTGAATATTAAATTTTTTAACCCTCGAGTAATTAGAATTTCTCTTATATTAAAATCTTTGGTCTAGTTCTAAAGAATAGTTTAAATGAGTAAGTTCCAAATATTCTTAATACAACATGCATTCTAACTAGTGAAACTATATAAGAATTAAACATAAACTGGGTAGACGATCAGAAGGAGCAAAAAATTTTATAAATTGATCTAGAAAAAGCTTATTACTAAAGAAATAATTAGTTTTAGTATGAAAATATTCTATAGTTAAAAGGAAATATTTTATTTTTTTAATGAATTTAGCTAAAAAACTAATACTTCTGTTTCATTACATTTAAAACATTTTTTTTTCATTTAATCTAATATAAATTAGAATCTGAAGAGAACAATCTAAAAATTGATTGATCTAAGCTAATATACAGTTTTAGGAAAATAGTCATAGGATTTCTTAGAGTAGGAAATATATCAAAGTAAATATCATATCATAGTTAGAAGTTATTTAATTTCAGCTTGGTAATACTACAATTTAGGTTCTCTTCCCTTCACTCTTGATCCCTACGCATTAGATAATAAACTGTTATAAATTGACGTAAATTTTTCATCACTAAAGCATTAAAATAGTTTGAATTACATGATAAAAACAAAAAGTCTTAAATGCTAGCTTGGTGAATTTTATGTAAATTCTGTATGTTAAATTTGTTCATGAAGTTAAGGATTTTTCTCTGTCGTATATGATGCAACAAGTGTTCAATATTCAACAAAGCCAAATTTAAAAACATCACTGAAATAATATAGAATTATTAGAGGGTTTTTGGAGGCCCAATTATTTATCGGATTAAATAGAAGAAAAATGTAAATTTTTGTATTGGTCGTTGGAGATATGGAAATGATATATGCGATTTTGGACATATTGGGGTGAGGAATGCGATATTTATAATATATGAGGAAGAGGAAAATATTTTAAAAATTAATAGAATTCATAATGCATCTCTTGCTTTGATGTTGGGAGTAGTATAATCCCATTTATTGAGTCATCAATTTGGTAATTTTTTTAATATTTAGGTCGCTTATCTCAATTATTATAAACTTAAGAAGTATTCAATAATCTAATCAATTATTCAAATATTTAAAATTAAGATAAAGGTTCAGTACAATTATTTTAAACTTAGAATAAGGTAAATAGATTATTTATTTAAGGTCATGAAAGCTTTTTAATAAAAATGTTATTAAACTATTTATGGATTTTTTCTGTGATATTTACATTCAATATACAATTTTCATTTTCATTTACTTTTCTTGATTCAGCTAGTAATACTTCCTACTCTATGACTAACAATCTAGATTGTTATTTATCTGAAAATCAATAAATAACATTGATTTACTCCAAAATAATTACTATGCTTTTGCTCATTACATTCTAATTTCTTTCTAATAATTATAGGTTTGATAGTTTATCATTTTTATAGGAAGGTTGAATTAAGTAATTTTCATTTTGAACTGATATCTAATACTCTACTCTACCTTTATGTTTCCAATTATGGTGGATTAGTTAAAATGTAATTCATCTTTCACTACTTTTAGGTATTTTTCTATTCTCTCAAATAGAGAGGTTTCTGGTTAGAATTATATACAATGTGATGTTTCACTCCTTTTTGGAACGAGAGAGCATTTAATCTGGATGGTCTCTTTTGTAATTCCAGGAATAGTTGTTTTTAGTGTGATCATACCACTTTCCCTTTTTATTAATGAATACAATAGTAGCAGCTATTTTTGGGAAGAAATAAAGCTAATTAAGAAGACGATCATTATTCTAATATTAACTTATTTTGAAACTTATATTCTACTGAAAGCATCTTTATTGGGCTATGTTTACTTTTTTATTAGTTATTAGCTTTTAATACAAAACCATAAATTCTCTCTAAATTCAATGGCAAGGATTTATCCTCAGCTCAAATTCGCTCTATTACAATTTTTCTTGCTGCTGTTAAATATGTCGCAGAAAAAGAAAATAACTAGTTTGCATCAATTTCACTCTAAATCATTATTGCTCTACTTTATCTTAAACTTTGCTATACGTTTACCAAAAGCATATTAGAAGTTTACTCCAAAAGTACTCTTTCTTAATCTTAAATTACGCATATTTA